ATTTTTAAATTATATTTTAGATTGGAATTCAATAATAATTTTAATTTCAATAATAAATTTAGGAATTAATTACCGATTGGGTAAAAAAATTTATTGCTTTATTTACACCAATTGTAAATACCAGAATGAGATATCCAAATTACACAATTGGTGTTACCACATTGTTACTTCTGTATGAGAATATGGAGCAATAAATGGTTTTATGATTGAAACGTACGAATCATTACACAAATATTGTGTAAAAATTCCATATAGAATGAGTAATCATCGAAATATAACTTTACAAATAATTAAGACGGTAAATTTAATAAAAATTTTATAATTAATTAATTAATTATTAATATAAAATATAATCAATATTAGGTACGACACAACAGTATTCTTAAATATCTTTAAAGAATAACATTACCAACAATTAAACATTGTCATAATACATTATTATTAGGTAGATTTGAGAGTAGTTTTGTATTATCAAACTTTAATGAATTCATCAATAAATACAAAACTACTCATTCTTTAGCATTAGAAGTCAAAAAGGCATTTGATGTACTAATCGATTTATTAAATTAATATTTTGATATGATTCAAGATATTACTGACAATGACATTAAAACAATACTTATTAAATGGTATACTAGCACATTTGTTAGAGGGATTGACACTATACGAGCAAAAAGTAGCTATTATAATATGCTGGCTTTTAGTAATATTGCAATAAATATGGATGAGAAAGAAGCTGAGACATATAATACATTTAACGGAGTATGTTTTGCTAAAGTAAGTTAAAGCAAGGTTTATTAATTAATTTTTTTATTTATATTAAAACTAATTTTACATAAAATAAAGCTTTTAATGTTATTTAGTTTAAAAATTCCCAGTCACGAAGAGCAAGAATTAGCACTTGTTAACTGGTATGATTTTAAATACAATGATACACATTGGCTACTCAAATATGATTGTCCTCTTATGAAAACTATTCTGATGTATACAGTTATAGCAATTGATTCCATTGTTGAGCTGGTTCATATTATTTCACGTTTTGAAAAAACTAATGAATATTTTATAAATTTATTTGTTTTTTAAAAAGCATAAAATATATATAATAAAAGTATTATAATTAA